CCAGAGCTCGGTCAATTAGCAAAATGCCTGTTTACAGTTTGATCCGGGGCTGCTGGGAAATGCACAATGAGCTCTCCGCCTCAAAAACTCTTGTTTGCTCTTAATCCGCTGGATACAGAGTGTCAGACGCAGCGCCGGGGTTCGGGGTGTTCACTACTACTTAAAGGAGAATCCCGGCTCACCACTCGGTGTATATAATAATCCGGCCACTCGGTGTATATAATAATCCGGCCACTCGGTGTATAAGCACTGCAAGCATGCTAGAATGGTCAGGACTGTATATAATGTGATGAGTCTGAAGTCCATTGGCAGGGAAAGCATTAGCAGCCTATAGACTCCCCTCTCCATCCTCCTGGTAAGGAGCAGTCTAATCATTGATGATTGGGTCATATTATGATTGGTCGCTCATGTATTATGAATGTCGGACAAGCTTTGCTTCCCAGGCGTCCGTCAGTCCGGGAGGTTATACGGCTCTCTGGGGTGTACGGGTCAGATAACACAAAACATTTGCTCAGGTCCCACCAGCTGCACAAACCAATACCGCCAGCAGCTGCTCCCCTCTGTGTGATGCTACATGCAAGGGAGACGCATCGCTCCATAGTCATATCTCATTGGGTGCAGACCGGTGGGTGTGGTCAGCAGGCAGCTGCGAGCTTTGAGGGTCCAACTCCAGACATAACATTCGCTTCTATTTTCAATACGGCAGAGTAGGCTTGGGACGTCCACATTGCTCACAGAGTGCAGCCTATCCCTTCACTAGAGACCGGTGACATCACTGAGAATGCAGCCTATCCATTCACTAGAGACCGGTGACATCACTGAAAATGCGGCCTATCCCTTCACTAGAGTCCGGTGACATCACTGACAATGCGGCCTATCCCTTCTCTAGAGACTGGTGACATCACTGAGAATGCAGCCTATCCCTTCACTAGAGACCGGTGACATCACTGAGAATGCAGCCTATGCATTCACTAGAGACCGGTGACATCACTGAGAATGCAGCCTATCCAATCACTAGAGACCGATGACATCACTGAGAATGCAGCCTATCCAATCACTAGAGACCGATGACATCACTGAGAATGCAGCCTATCCATTCACTAGAGACCGGTGACATCACTGAGAATGCAGCCTATCCCTTCACTAGAGACCGGTGACATCACTGAGAGTGCAGCCTATCCATTCACTAGAGACCGATGACATCACTGAGAATGCAGCCTATGCATTCACTAGAGAGCGGTGACATCACTGAGAATGCAGCCTATCCAATCTCTAGAGACCGGTGACATCACTGAGAATGCGGTGTATCCATAGTAGACTGCAGTGATGTCACGGAGAACGCTGTGTGTGGGTGCCAGCCCTCTCGGTGTGGATGTCTTTGTTGCTTTGAGCCCTGCACCTTTGTTTGCATTCTTGAGGAAAGTAATTATATAAATATTACTACTTTAAAGCCGGTCTCGCCTGGCCCCCTTCCAACGGCTGTTGTATGAAGAGGCCCCGCGAGACACCCTGTCTGCCTGCCAGAGCCTTCAATGTAACTTCTACTTGTCCTTGCTGCACAATGGCTGTCCAAGAAAAACATTGCCTGACGCTGTCACCAGGGCCCCTGCAAAGTGCACTCCCCGAGCACTTGTCTTCTGTTTGGACAAGACATTGTGGGCTTGAGTGCTACTTAGTAGTTGTTACCTTGTCCACCCTTTCATGCTGCGTCCTGAACTTCCCTTCAAAGCAAAAGCATCACACGGGTTATCTCTCCTTAAAGGAGAAGTATGAGGCGAGTGATTTTTCACTCACCTCATAGTTCTAGCCGACCTGTGACAATGAGACTGTCACAGGTCGGCTCAGTAGATCGGGAGGTGAGCGAACACATACCGGCGTTCGCTCACCTCTCGATCCTGTCACTGCTCTCTGCTGTGATAGGGGAGGGGCTGGATTCCCCCCTCCCCGCTCCGCCAGCGCTGACTGGCGGAACGGACGGGGGCGGGTACAGCTGGCTCTGCCTCTAGATAGGCAGAGCCAGTTGTCACTCACGCAGCTGGGCGGATCCAGACATAATTGTCGGGAGCCGTTTCAGCTGCGGCGGTCTGAATATACCGCGAGCTGTAGCTCCCTATATACTGAGCCTAGGGTGACGGGAGGACGCTAGTTTGTGTCCTCCCGTTACCCTAAGGAGAACTATGGGGCAAAGCCCTGACCCCATAGTTCTCCTTTTAAAGAGACCATTAAAGGGACCCTGTCACAAATGCACAGGATGACGACGTCCTTGTAACGGCCATCCTTATAAACACCTTGGCAGGGCTGTGTTGCCGCTCCTTCCTTTGTCGTAGCTGCCACAAAATAGCCCGGCTTTTCAGGGATGGGGGAGCTCGTCATTTGAGACCGTGCTCGGGCCAAGCGAAAAGTGACTCCCCATGTAAGCTCTGATATCAACACTGGGTAGCTGAGATGAAGGAA